TGTCCAACCTGTCTGCGTCCCTGAAGTGAAAATTTAAGAAAATGGATCGATGAATTTTATTTTGTTTGATAGTCAGTTTCTTAGAAATCATAGATATCTAAAGAACAAAAAGGCCCACATGCAGTATACATCTTTCTGCAAGGCAGGTATGACAAACCCGTTTTTATATTGTGGGCCACAACAGCCCGCTTTGATTTAATTTATATAGCACCAAATCACAACCGTGACTCCCATTCTGTCGGTATAAGGAGGTTTAACTGCACATTTAATTATTTGAAGATATCATGGTATAAGTATATATCTGTCAGCATGACTTGGGTTTAAGTTGTAGGAAATAAATGTGTAAGCTCACACTCAAAACCATGCAGTGGACAAGACTGGAGTCTTTCCGTGGCTAATTCTGGCCCCTGGGCCTTATGTTTGACACACCTACTGTAAAGGTGTTTGAGATGGTTAACTTAATCTACAGCAGTGTACGGGAGTGGCTGTACCTCAGGTGGTAGAGCAGGTCAGCTGCTAACCGGTTGGTGGTTCGATCCCAGGCTCCACCAGTCTGCATGCCAAATATCCTCGGGCAAGATACTAACCCCATGTTGCTCTCTGATGCATCCATCGGAGCGTGAATGTGTATGAATGTTAGATAGTAAGCACTTAACAATTTAGAAAAAGTGTTTGTGTGATTGGGTGAATGAATTAGTTGTATAAAGCGCTTTGAGTGCTCAGGCTAGAAAAGCGCTATATAAGAACCGGTCCATATACGACGGAAAAAATACCATGGAGAAAAAGGAAGTGTACATTCAACAAAATTGCATTTATATACATTTTGGCCTGTTTTGTATTTCCGATGCTTTTTTTCCCCTTTTATTTATATAGTTCTGCTCCAAATATATAGTTTCCAAATGCAAAAACAAAAGTGAAAGATTATGCAGAAGAGAATCAGTCAAAATCAAATCAGTGGGTCTTCTAGTTACAAGCAGACCTGTCACGTTTTCATTTGTGGAATAGAAAGGCTGTGAGTGACATCCAGTGGCTTGTCGTAGACTCCAGCCTGTTGTAGAAGGACCCACCAATCAGCAGGAGGCGCTGTCACCATCCACATCTGTTCTTCTGCCGCTAACTTCCTCTCTTGGCTCCACTCTTTATCTTTTTCTGCTCGCTCGGGTTTTCTTTCTCTTCCGGTTGTCGTCTGTTCGTGTGGCAGGTATCTATTTTCCCCAACTCGGGGACTCTTAAAAAATCCTCATCAATCTGAGTGTATTTCATATGTTTGCAAAGAAACAGACAGTGATTTAGATGAGGGGCTTTCTTAATGATGGATCCATGGCAGTATTGTTTAGATGGGATCCCAAATAAAGCCTGAAAATGACGTTCAAGGCGTGTTAACGCTATGTGTAGCAGAGCTGTAGTTTCGCAGTAGCTTCCGACCACCAGGCAGGCTTTCTAAGCACAGCCCAGCCGCACAGTCATTTTTTAAAAATTATTATTTATTTCATGTGTAGTTTTATATCATAATTCTGTTGCTACCCAGAATTTTTTCCGACGGACACAGCTGGTTGAAATGAATGAAGCATCGTTAGCCACCTGATGCTAATCCAATCCCAGTTAATACTGATGATAACTACAGATTAAGGTCTGATGCGCATTTCTCCCTCATTTTCTCTACTTTTAGATTAACCAGCGTCGAAATGGCCAAGTCTAAGAACCACACAACCCACAACCAGTGTAAGTAACTGCTGAAGTAACTGTAAAGTCGTTTTACCGAGATGTGGTGCTGTTGCGTTAGCTTTGAGGTTTAGCTACCGTACTTGCCTGTAGTTAAATATTGCAAAGCTAGCTGCTTTGTATTAATTGTCGCTCCTTTTTATTTGAACAGCTCGGAAACACCACAGGAATGGCATCAAGAAGCCACGATCACAGCGATATGAATCTCTGAAGGGGGTGCGTACTGTTACAATTTTACATGTTTGTATCTTTGAAAAACAAAACAGGTTTTGTGAACATGATCTGCAAGGCAAGCATGCAGCTCATGGTCAAATCCTCTGTAGTAAAGTGTGTTTTGTATAACTTTTGTAATGAAGTGAGTGGGTGTTATTGCCTTAAAATGTAATATGGAGTATTTCTAAATTTAAAACGTTGCATTGGCGCTTGCTTGCAGCAGCATTTACAGTTACAGCGTTTTCTGTCAGCCTTTTCCAGTGTGCTACTGTTACTAGTGACTTTCTAATTTGGAGAATGAATATTTTGAAAGAAAACGACAGCAATAGTATTGATAGCATTATATGCAGTGACATAAGTTCAATGTGTGGACAAAAGTAGCCCAGGCAGTGTTTTCCCTGACATTTTCCTGTGAAATTATAAAATAGCTGTTTAACAAATGGTAACTCATCAGGTGTTGTACATCTGGTCAAGCTTTTTAAAGAGTAGTTTAAAGCCCTGTTTTTCTGAAATGTAATCACAATTGTAACTATTTACATCCATCATTTGTTCTTCCTAGAGTTGAGGTATTTATTTACATTTGGATCGCAGATCAGCAGCAGTTGGCGTAGCTTGATTTGATTCAATAGTGCTTTTGCATGAAGTAGCAAATACCGATCAAAAGGACCGAAACTGTGAAGCAAGCTTTTTTCTATGTATTAATTAATTAAAGTTATTAATGTATTTATTTTCAAGTTGTTGAAGTAATTCCCTTTGGTAACAAATCATCTCCGGAGGGTGACAAGTGGTTCATGCTCTAAGACAGGCCCTACCTAGTCTCCTTGAGGTTTCTTCCTGTTGAAAGGAAGTTTTTCTTTAGCACTTTTGCCCAGTGCTTGCTCATAGGGTGTTTGTTGGGACAGTAGGGCCTTTACCTTGCAATATAAAGCACCTTCAGGTGACTATTGTTCTGATTTTTGGAAATCCAAGTAAAACAAACATATTGAATTGAATTGTTGCAAGTATTAGCAACGTAAAGACACACCTTTGCTATAGCTGTGGGCTCGAATCATCAGAATGTGCATTCATCAATTATTTAGCTACCGCCCACCCAAGCTAATTTATTAATTCCTTAAAATGGTTGCGTTCTGGATTGATGATTAATTCAGAGACCTGCTCCCAATCAGGCATAAACACAGTGACATGACAGGCAGGTTGGTTTGAAATTATATAGATAGGCCAGTTAATTGTCATATTTATTTACTTTTTTTTTTTTTTTTTTTAACATTAAAGAAATTGGATCACTGCTGAAAGACCTCCTGGTTATTATTATAATCTGGTTATTGAAGTGTGTGTGTGAATGTGCAGAGTAACAGAGAGGTCCTTGGTCATTTTGGATTGTTGGATTAGGTAAGGTTTAGGTTTATCAAAGTTTCATTTAGGTTAGCACTGTTTTAATACATGATACAAAGCTGCTAACATTACTCTGTCTGCCCAAAGCTCTCGCTAACCTGTTAAAATGAAATAATTATTTTTGCATTGTGTTATTAAAGTTTATTATTTTACTTCGAAGAAAACTTTCTGAACTTTCAGTTCAGTGAACCTGCTAACTGCTTGTTTACTTTGTTGCAGGTGGACCCCAAGTTCCTGAGGAATATGCGCTTTGCTAAGAAGCACAACAAGAAGGGCTTGAAGGCAGCACGGAAGGCCGCTATGGAGAAATAAGCAGCTAGCCCATCACCTCATGTCTGTCAGAGTCCATTTTGTGTTACCATCATCGAAATAAAGCTATGCTTTGTTAACACACCAACATCTGATTGTTCTTTATTGAGGTTCCTGCTTCTCTCTGGTTTTATAGAATAAATTATGTTACTGGTTATTAAGGGTTTATTTCTTTCTAATGTGTCTCTAGTTTGTTCATCTAAACTGAAAGTATGTAGAAAACTGGATAATGGTTGAGTTTGAAATATTGCAAAGATTTGGGGGGGATGGTTTTAATCAGGATAGATGAAGTTTGATTGCACAACCTCAATAGAAATAAGAACTTTCTCTAGATTTCTAAAATCACTAACAAGCTGTGACAGAAATATTCTAATAAGGAAGGGGGTTGAATAAATCAAGTTGACTTCTAGCATCTTTTTTCCCCTTTCCTTAATCCCGTGCAAAGATTTGAAACACCATGAATGGAAGTCATGAAAGTGTGATATTACCATGTGAACACAAAATCATTGCACAGGTGTTATCACATGGGTAATAACTAAAGCAATTCAACACCAGGAAGTGAAGTGATGGACCTTGCTGCCAGAAAAGCTTCACCTGTCTTGACAATGATATTTACTCATTTCGTGTTTTGATGATGTTGTCAGTCTTTAACATATGGCTGCCCACTGCTTCACTGAGTGAATGGGTTAAATGCAGAGAGGAATTTCCCCACGGGGATCAATAAAGTACACTTTCTTCTTTCTTTCTTTTCTTTCATATTAGACCCAAACCGCCCATACAGTGGGGCTGAGATCTGATGACTTATAGCTTTTTCACATCTTTTGTGACCTATGCATGGCAGAGAATTGTTATTCCACAAAAAAACCTGTAGAGGTGGAGTCAACTAGAGCAAATACCCCCCCCCCCCCCAAAAAAAAATGCGTAGAGGCTGAACATATAGTGTATAGTGTTTGTATCTTAGGAAGTAAATTTACTGAAAATATAGGGTAGTCAAAATGTTTAAAATTTTTTTTAATTGAAAAAAAAAGTTTAAAACTTGTGGTCGATTTTTAAACCTTTAGTAGATGGCATATAGTCATAGGAATGATCAGAATAAAATATAAAAAGAAAGAACCAAAGTGGGAACAAAATATAATGTAGTCGGAGTAAAAGTTAGTTAGTAAAACAAGTAGATTAATAGTGTTTTTTAAAAACACGAATTTCATTATTTAAAAAACAAATCACTGAATTTGAAGATAAGATTAGGAGATGTTTTTGTGGAGTTTTGTTTTTGTTTTGTTGTTCTTGTCTATGTAATTTAGCGTTTTATTTTTATTTTCATGCAACATCGTTGTTTGCCGTCCATTAGTCGTCACTTCCGCTCACGCTCTGACTCCAGCTTGCATCATTTCTCGTGTCTTGTCAGCCGGGTTCGGACAGCATGTGAGTACCTGCATTCAAACTTAGTAATGGCCTTAATATGAAGGTTTGGTCGCAGCAACACTGCGCTGTACGGCTGTCAGTGTGAGTGAGCGACTGAACGTAATTTTTAATAAACTTTGCGTTTCCTTCAGCTACAAGCTAACTAACTGAAGCGCCGACTTACTAGCTTAACCTTCCAGCTAACAACAAGGAGGCGTCATTTCTCGGATGCGAACTGACTGCTGTGGAAAATTGATTTATCAGATTTAATTATCACTTTGGTCAAATTTAGAGTGATTATATGTCGGAGGTAGAAATAACATATATCTAGGTTTGACTTCAGGGTTAAACATGATTCCTAAAAAAAAAGGGACAGCATGTTTTGCTAAGAAAGTATTGAGCTCTGACAGGTTTTTGGCACATCAAAGAATGAGAGTCAGAGTTATTATAATTTTTTAGGTTTTGCATTTAGTTTACAAATTGGTTTTGCCAGTTTCAGGTTATTTTTTGAAAATGTGCTCGGTTTTAGTCCTTTTAGTTAGGGAAGTCAGTACAGTGTTACAATAAAATACAGAAGTCTGTGAGAGAAGTTAACTCACAGTGTTGCATACCTCCAAAGTCTCAATAAACATGACTCATCAGGCAAATTGTGATTATTATTATTTTTTTTTTTTTTACTAATCTAACAAATACTAAAACTACTGTAGTTTTGTGTTATTATTTTTGTTAACTATTTTTTTTCGCATGCAGCTTTAGATTTTAGTTTTATTTTTAGTTAAGAACCTTTATCAGAGGAGCGTGAAAGGCATTCATTTAGAAAATATGCTTACAGGTAGTTTCGTTAGGCGTTGGCTCGGTTTAGTTATTTGATCAGAAACTTTTGCGTCATGGAGTCTAAAAGTTTTTACCTTGAAAGTGAGATTTAATTATTCACTTTTATAAAATAGGCATAACTAGGGATATTTTAATAGGTGATCCTTTAGAGTTCTAGTTTGTTAATGCATTAAAAAAAATTGTGCATGTGATGATCTTGGCAGGAAGTACAAACTATAATTCCTGTTCTGTGAGTGTAACATTTGAGTTTTGTTTGTCCTCACAGACGCAATGGTGGAGCGGGTTCCTGAAAACATTAACTTTCCCTCTGAAGAGGAGAAGATTATAAACTTTTGGAATGAAAAGGACTGCTTCCAGGAATGCCTCAAACAGTCCAAGAACAGACCCAGGTAAATCCAGTTGCAAATTTCCATGTTCGTCTTGTATCTGTATGGGTTTTCTCTAGGTGCTCCCATTTCCTAACGAACAAAACATATTTATACACAAGCTGTGAATAACCTAAGATAATACTGAAATTTGGTTGAAGTGTGTTTAGATTAAGTTAGCTTTTTGCTTGGAATGTGTTGGTTCGGACAATCTCCAGTATAAACGTCTAAAAATCCACCATTTATTATAACTTATTGTAAAACACTTACGAACAGTTCTTTTAAATGTAATAGTCATAGTATAGTCAATATATGATTTACAGCTGCTAACAATCTGTATCTGAGCAGACATAATTTTGTTGTATCGCTTTAATGCTGGGTGTTTTATAAGGATTGGTTTTAAGCGTTCTGGTAGCTGGTAACAGCCAGAGAAAATAGTTGTATTTCCTGATTGTCCAGTTTTATTTCTTACCAGTGTCTGAGTCATGTGAGGTCCATTGGAAAAAACAAGGTAGCTATGAAAAGTGTGTATGGTGTATGGTAGTATAATATCAGAAAGCACAAATACTGTGTTATCATTGCGTCACAGCTATGATGTTTTAGATTCAAACTAGGGCTGAACGATTATGGAAAATAATCTAATTGCGATTTTTTGCCCCAATATTGCGATTGCGATGCGATATGCGATTATTTTTTAAG